ACCTCAAAGTGCGAAGCATTTTCAAGGTTAGAGCCACACTACTGAGTTCCTCCATAAGCACGAAATCCTCTAGATTTAACTTCAAAAACTAATAAGAGAACATAAAAATAAATAACCAATAATCAGCTCATAATTTACACCAAGGTTATTTTGAGAACTTTTCCTTTGAATTATAAATGATATATTATGCTCCCGAAGCACAACTCAACTAATCAATTAACTATATCAAAAAAGTTCATAAGCTAGCTTTGCTTTATATCAAAACAACCCTCTCGAGTTCTAGTAGCATCTCGAGAGGGAAACCACTTCAAAATTCATTCCTTTATATATGTTGGCACGCAGTTCACTTATTAAATAGCCTCTCAAATTCCATAAAGATTTTCTTCAACAACAACTAGCCATTAGATCGAAGTAACCTATGAAAGCTTTCCGCTCCTTTAATTTAATGGGGTAATTAAGGTTGAGGAGTAGTTTGTCCTATTATTTTCTTTCTTAGGGGATATTATTATTTATTAGATAATTGGGATTGAAGTAGTAGCATTGTGATACCTGTTGTTGTTGTTGTTGTTGTTGTTGTTGTTGTTATTATGTGACAAAATAAATTTGCAATCACTATGGATTGTGATTGTTTTATATTTTAAAATTAAACTTGACAAGTATATGTGACAAATGTTGGCAATAACATATTAAATTATAATAATGTATTATTATTATTTTTTTGGTGTGGCATAATAATGTATTCTAAAATGTTTTGGAGAAGATGCAACAAGATGACGACGACAATGCAATGCCAAGAAAGGTACAACAAGCAATTAGCGCAGACAATTTAAGAGGAAACCTCAAAGTTTCAGTTGGGCAAGAGACTACAAACTAGTAGATTCAGAACTCTCTCTAGAACAGGAGATTTTAAGAACAACATTTTCACAAAGAGTATTTGAGTTGTAGATCCACTAAACCAATTGTGTCTACTTCAACATTTTCACTCTTATGAGAAATATAATAGTAGCAATGGCCTAAGGTATGCAAGACACATAGAAATGGTGATAGGTTTCTAGTCACCAAAAAAAAAAAAAAAAACTTTTAGCATCACGTTCAAACCAAACATGCTCGAGAACTAATGAAGTGATGCTAGAAAATATACATTCAGCATTTATCAAGAAGCCAAAAAGAAAACTACCGAGCTTATGTGTCTTAATTATATTGTTGATCGAGCACAAGATAATACAAACTAGCATGGAACTTATATGTATGATATAATAAAAAAGATGTTTTTTTTAGCAGTATATCATTAATAGAAGAAAAAATCATTGATCTAAATCGGATTGTTAGGATCTAAATAACTATAAGAGCAAACATATGGTTCTTTGTCACTCAAGGTGAACCAAGAACACTGTTGATTGTGTATTCAAATTTCAAATTAGCACACTATTGAAGTAGTATTTATAGACAAAGATTGCATCTAATTGGAGTTTTTTGCACTTTTAGTCCCACGACTATAGTGGCACTGGCAGAATTGATCCACGACTTTTGGACCTTGCAATTTTAGTCCACAACTATTGATTTTTTTGCAAAAATGGTCCTTCCGGCCACTTTTTCGTCAAAATTTCACCGGAAAAAAAAATTCTCCATTTTTAGCCGGGTTAAAATTGACATTTTACTTATCTAAAAAAATTGATATTTGACTACATACAATATTACTGGGCTACATACTACTGCCCCAGGCGGCGGAGTTCCTGGAGCAGGCAGGGCTGTCAGTAAGCGGCGGAGCGGCCGTGGCGTTCCCCGGGCTAGTTGGGTTATCCGACAGCAGCATTGGAGTGGTACATGTATTCCGCCGCCTGGGGCAGCAGTATGTAGCCCAATAAATGTAGTTAAATATCAATTTTTTTCTTTTAATTTTTTTAGATAAGTAAAATGTCAATTTTAACCCGGCTAAAAATAGAGAATTTTTTTTTTCCGGTGAAATTTTGACGAAAAAGTGGCCGGAAGGACCATTTTTACAAAAAAATCAATAGTCGTGGACTAAAATTGCAAGATTCAAAAGTCGTGGATCAATTCTGCCAGTGTCACTATAGTCGTGGGACTAAAAGTGCAAAAAACTCCATCTAATTGTTACAACTTACAAGAGAGCAAATAATGCATAGATGCATGTCCATTAAAGGTTTATCTTGTGATTGGAACTATTGACAAGAATATAGTGCGGATACAACATACTTCACTCATCCCAAAGACAATAACTAGGTTGATTAGGAATTTATTTTCTCCCTAAAGGTTGAATCCCCATCCTAAGGAATTTCTCAATATATGAAGTGCTAGTCTTCTATAATGCATTCTTGGCTCCCAACGTCCTTATTGCCTTGCTTATCGTAATCTTGTGTTGCTTGCCCGTGTTGAATGACACAAGTCAATAATATTAACCTCAATAAGAGAGAAATATCATTTCTATAACAATTTATTCCTTCAGGCAAATTTTCTAAAAAAAAAAAAAAAACTCCTTTAATTTATTGTATTAGAATATCAAGAAAATTATCTATCTATAAGTATAGCAATATTTATTATCTAAAATACCTTCATAAAATTGTGTCTATTTAGATGTGAAAATATTTTTTAGAAAAAGTATAAAATAAAAAAGAATTTCTTTGAAGTTTTTTTATTTTTTATTTTTTATTTTTTCATATGTGAACTTCACCGTACCTAATTGCATAGAATGCTTGATTATTGGAATGAATCTGTTAGCACTCCCATGGAGAAAATTAAACCATTCCTTCTTCTTAACCTGTAATGGCTGCTGAACTGCATCATATCCCATGAATAGCGGGTGATGACTGATGACTAGGAAATTTATTGCATCTCCAAGAAGACGTACGATACACAATGCCAACCAGTCTCCAATGGCAGCTTGGATTGATATGTCATATGCATCATATCCATATCCATGGTACTTTCTTCATCTTTGTCTCCATGATCCACTGGCCGGGTATGTAAAACCTTAATTGCAATCTCTCCACTTGTGCTTGTGAGATCACGGGATTTAAGTCTAGAATTGAGCTTCTCAACATATATATGCAGAGGAGAGAATATAAGTAATATCATTTGCTTCGAGGTCGCCTAATAAGTAATATCATTTGCTCCGAGTTCGCCCAATATTATGTGTACTTGAAGTTTAGGTTTGAAATGCGATTCATCAAGTGTTAGTGTGTTATTTGGTTGTTTTCTAGGAATTGAGAAGGTTGTCATTGCTCAAGGCTAGGTTGGATGTTTAACTCTAGTTACGAGTTTAAAATTATGCAAGAACTTTTACATTTCTCTCATGCCCCCACAAAAGCTAGCCGCAATTGATTACATTATTTTAATTTTAGACATCTCGTCAATTTTACTATAAGTTCAGTAGCGTGTAATGATGCGTTTGGAATACGCTCTTCCTCCTCTCTATACCAAAAACACCCTTCGTTCCTTCCCCCAACTTCACAATGGGAGTACTTAAATAACATAGATACTAGATGAACTTCAACATTTACACACTTTCAAATAGTAACGGCAAGTTTCCCATAAATCAAAGTAGTGAAAGACTTGCATATAGGAAAAGCAACCACATACTAATGTTGACATACTTTATATATCCTAATAGTTTGGTTATCCACCCACACACTTTGTTTTTTAGTGTACTCAAGGTTTACTAAATAGGTGGTCTCATAGGAACCCTCATATATATATATATATATATATATATATATATATATATATATATATATATATATATATATATATATATATATATATAGTAGAGTTCAGGTGCGGCCTTAGTATCCTGTGCGGTCATGCGGATATATTAGAATCGTAGGATGAGCTGAGATCAAATGGTTGGAAACCAATGAAGAAGAGAAATTTCGCGGTGACAATTTTGTAATTTCTTGCACCATGCATATTTCGACGGTGATTACGTGCTAGTGTGTGGTGCATTTGTAAGTACTCTGTGGTGCATTTTTGAGTGATTAATGGTGCATTGATTTGTATTATACCACTCAACGGGGGTGTCAAACCCGTCGACGGGTTCAATGGACCCGTTATCGGATGCATTACGTGGTGCATATTTGAGTGCTCTGTGGTGCATTTTTGAGTGCTCTATGATGCATTTTTGAGTGATTAATGGTGCATTGATTCGTATAACACCACTCAACGGTGGTGTCAAACTCGTCGACAGGTTCAATAGACCTGTCAAGGAGGTGTATCACGTGCTAGTATGTGGTGCATTTTTTAGTGTTGTATGGTGCATTTTTGAGTGTTGTGTGGTGCATTTTCAAGGATACATGGTGAATTGAGATTGCCCCGTGCCTTTGGATGCAAATGATCGGACGATGCATATTAGGGAAGTTGACCAGATCATTAAAGAAACTTTAGGTTCATCAAAAGAATTCAGCTTCAAATTTTTGAAACAGTCTGCGAATCAAATTTTCTATAACATTGCTAGGGAAGTTGTTTTTATGTCTGGCTGTAAGGAATGTTTGGCCATTCTATCGATCTCTATTGTAACTTGTAAATGTTTCAGTTGATTAATGAAGTAGCTTCTTTATTTAAAAAAAAAAAAACATAAAAGAGAACATTTTTTTTAAAGTAAACTGCTGCATATATTAATCAATCAAAGTCGAAACAAAAGTAGAAGGAATATCCTCCCACACCATAAAAGAGAACATAAAACTAGAGAACGTTATCATATTTATAAAATTAATAATAATATATTCCTTTAATTTAAACACATTAAGTATGAGTCACAAGCTTTAGTGAAAATTTGATTGAATCAATAAATTTTAGTTAATTATTTTTTAACCAAAATACTTCAATTTGATTAATGGTTATAAGTTTTTTTTTTTTTGAGAATATGGTTATAAGTTTTAAAAAATTTTAATTAAGGATTAATTCGTTTCAAAACTATTGATTAATTAAAATTTTAAATAAAAAAATCCCAAAAACTAAAATGAAATCCTAGACCCTAGTTCAATATAATCCTTCTCCCTTCAGCAGTTCAGCCCTGCGACTCAGCAGTCTCTCCGTCTCCACTCTCTCTGTCTCTCCACCGCGATTCTCCAGTCTCCACCGGCTGCCGGCCTTAGTCTTCTCCGTCTGGCGTCTGCTACTCTGCTCCGTTTCCCTTCGGCTTTCCTAACCCACAAAGGCCCAAACCAAACCAGACATTAGAGGTGAGGGTTTCTGTCACTTTTCCCCGAATCTCTGTTTTCTCCCCAACTCTTAGCCTCCTAATTTCGTTTTATTTACGAAATACTAAATTTACAGTTATAATAGAAGGATTTTAGCTTTTGATTTCGAGTGACGCATAAATTTAATGGCTCCCACCGTAGCGGATGCAAGTAGGGATTTAATAAGTCCTCTCCCGCTAGAGGTAAAGCACATAATTTTGGAATGTTTGCCCACCAGAGATGCTGCCAGAAGTCCAGAACTGCTCTACTCTCAACCCACTGGAATAATGTTTGGAGGCAGCATGGGAGTCTTGAGTTCTCAAATAGTGACCAACAGGGTCACAATGATGAAGGCAGAACTCTCGTTGACATAATAAATAATATTCTCTTATCTCGTGCTGGACCGGTTAAGAAATTTAGTCTAGATATTACAAATTATTATCCTGAGCTGCGACAGTCTGATTTCAATAGGTGGTGTTTTTTTCTATCAAGAAATGGTGTGGAGGAGCTTAACATATGTTTTTTTAGTTGGCTAGAGGCTAAATATAAGCTGCCATTTTGTATACTCTCGTGATTGTCGAAGGTGCCTGTATTGATTTACCTGTAAATAATGTTGGTGGTATATTTTCCAATGTCACTTCATTATCTTTCGAGGAAGTTGAATTTAGACGCACTGTTAATGGAACTGCCTCTAGTATTAGTATTCCTAACCTTGAGAGGCTGAATTTCTCTGATTGTGGAGGGATTGATAAATTTGAGATCAGCGCTTCAAAACGTGAAATGTTGGCTGTTCGTCATTCTGTGTATAGTGTGGTTGAATCAAGATGGTTGACACCACATTTGAAAGCAATTAAGGCTCTTTGGTTGTGTGGCTCTTCCTTGCGGGTGAGAATCTAATCTGCCTCATTTTACTTTATGCAAATGGATGGCAGACAGATTTAATTTAATTGTTAAAGTTCTTAATTGTCTGCTTAATTTTTTTCTTTCTTTATTACCATCTTTCAAGTATATGGATGCATCTTTGTTTGCAACTGCAATAAATCTCCAAGTACTGCGGTTGTATGATTTAAGTTTTGCTTGTGGGAAGGAGCTCACTGTTGTTATGCAATTGCTTCAAAAATGCCCCAACCTATGTGAACTAGGAATTACGGCTAATGAGGTTGAGTATACATTTAATTTGACAATCATGCATGTATATATATGATTCTTCTGTTTTTTCTTTCTCAAATGTCCTCAGAGTTGTGCATGTCTTTCATTTCTTCTTGAGTTATAGGCAGTATGCGACCGTGATATAGAAGCTGCTTCAAGACTTTTGGAGGATCCAGATGGTTGCTTTATTGTTCAGGATCTAAAGATGCTTAACACAATCAAGATTGAATCATTTAGGGGATTCACAGTCGAAACGCTTTTTGTAAAAATGCTGCTCTCAAAATCCCCCGCGCTAGAGGAAGTTGTTATTATGGAATGTGTTGATATTGACACATCTATAGCTGTCAAAAGCCTAAGGGAGTTGTTACGTTTTCCTCGTGCATCTCCAAAAGCCCAAATTGTTTGCATGGAACACGTTTATTCCATGATGGGTTGGACCATGGGCGAATTGTGGTCAACGGGGATTTGCTAGAGTGTGCCGAAAGATGCAAAGATGATAAAAGCGTAGCTCTGGTGAGCATGATAAATGACATTCGATCTCTTGCGCCATGCCGGCTGCCGTGTTAAGAAATTTACTCTATGCACTCCTTGTGGAGTAAGAAACCTATCCTATTATATTTGGCAATCATGATTTGTTTTCTTAATTTCCTCATGGTTGGTACTTAATTTTCATTTCTTGTTGAGTTGTAGACATGAGATAAGACGTTCGGAGGATCTTGATTGAAGATTGAACAACTGTTTTAGGGCATACACACTTGTAATGTATTTTGTGAAAATGTTGCTCTTCAAATCACTTGGAGAAAGTTGTTATTCAAGAATCATATGATCTCGACTCTTCCATTGCAGTCAAAATTCCAAGATTGTTGTTGGCTTCCCCGGTGCATCTACAAAAGTACAAGTTGTCTACATGGACTACAACTTTAGGTAGAGTAGTTGGCTTCCCAGCCGAGTTTTTATGAATTGAGCATTGTGCAGCTCCCACCACAACCACACCACTACCACCACCACCAACAACTACATACCACCACCACAACTACCAACACCAACAACTACCACCACCATCACACCACTACTACTACTACTACTATTAATCCAATTTTTCATAATATTAAGTTTAATATTAGTATGCAAAATTAATATATTTAGAAACTACACTGAATGTATTATTAAACACAAAAAATCAAATTTAAAAATAGTAAAAAATACTAAAGAAAATAAACAAAGAAGAAATAGTTGGTTTGACCAATGAATAGTAAATAGGACAGATGAAATTTGCTCCGACAGTTATTTAGATCCTAAGTTACAACAATCCGATTTAGATAAGTGGTATCTTTCTCTATCAAGAAATAATATACTGCTTAAAAACATCTTTTTTATTACATCATACATACTAGTACTTTCACCCGTGCGATGCACAGAATGCATTTGTTCTAATATATTAAGAATATTTGAATCGATATATAATTATTTAAATTAGAACACCAAATATTGTATAGTGCAATTAAAAATATGGTTTGGATCATTTATGTATTTTGATGTTATCATTGCTTGAATTTGTGCAAATAATTGTTCAAATTAATAGCTAATGTCTAGATGTACACATGTAGTGCTATAACTTTGAAGATTTTATTTATCATTATTTAGTATATTTGTAAATTAGGCAAATGTGCTCATTCTCTAACAAGTCAGTTATAGAAATGAATTGCTATCCTAATTCATTTGTATGGAAGATATATTTTTTTGTCTAGATATATAGCAATTTTCCATTAAAAATAACAAAATATCACCGATTATATTTACACATTATTGAAACCTCTTTGTAGACGACATTGGTAGTGGTAACACAATCTTGTCCATCCTCGTCTAGAGCTAACACCTTTAGTCCATCACGGGTGACTCGGGTGAAAATATATAATGTGGAATATCACTCAATTAGTGATCCTTTTATATTTTCAGCCAATTTTTTTCCCAGTCAATTAGTAAGTTAGAATATCAAATTCAGTGATATTTTTACCTAATTTTCATTTCATTTTAAATTGATGATGTAGATATTATTATTGAAATATTTCTGTTTCATTTTTAATTTACCTTTACTATTATTTAAAATATGCATTTACTATTGATGATGTATAATATTATTATTGAAATATTATTGTCCTAATTTTAATTTCCGTTCTATTTTTAATTAAAATGCAATGATTTGACCATTTTTTAAAATAAATTATGTATCATTTTTTATTTGCAGTCAATTATTAATATTCATTTCCTTTTATATTTTCAATCAATTAGTAGTATTAGATTCATTTTCAACCAATTTTTTTTTATTTTTTTTTATTTTCAGTCAATTAGAATATAAGATGCAGTGATATTTTTACTTAATTTTTGTTCCATTTTTATTTGATGATGTAGAATATTATTATTGAAATATTTCTGTTTTTTTTTTAAAATATTCGTTCCATTTTTAATTTGCCTTTACTATTTTTTAAAACATGCCTTTACTATTGATGATGTTGAATATTATTATTGAAATATTTCTTTTCCATTTTTAATTTTCCTTTAGTTGATGATGTAAAAAATTATTATTGAAATATTTCCGTTTCATTTTTAATTTTTGTTCCATTGTTTAAAATTGTGAAAGATTTATGATATAATTGTGATTTGATGTGTTCTACTGTGTAATATTATTGTGAAAAATTAAAATGCAATAATTTGACCATTTCATTTTCCATTATGAATCATTTTTTATTTTCAGTCAATTATTAATATTTATTTCCTTTTTCAATTAACCTAATTTCCATTCCTTTTTCTATTTTTTAATTTTTAGTCAATTATTGATATTCATTTCCTTTTAAAATTTACACAATTTTTGTTCCATTTTTAATTGATGATGTAGAATATTATTGTGACATATTTCTATTCCTTTTCTGTTTCTTTTTTTTTTTTTTTTAATTTACCTTTATTATTTACTATTGTTTGTGTGGGAAATCAAGTAAATATTATTTTTTTAATTATAGTACAGATATAGATATAAATTATTTATCTATTTATTTATTATTTTTCTGAAAAATGAATAAAATACACAAAGACAATTTTCTGTTGTGCATCCAAACATTGAAAAGAAAATTGTTTTTTGAAAAATAACTCATTTTCACAAATCATTTTCCTACTTTCCAAACGAACTTTAATATCTATACAATTAATTTGTTAATTACCATTCCCTTCAAAAAAAAAGTTGTTAATTACTATAATAATTACTAGTATTTTCACCAGTGCGGTGCACGGAATGGAATTGTTGTAATATATTAAGAATATTTAAATTGAGAGGTCGTTTATCTTTCCTGACAATTCCAAAATCCGAGACTATAGTTATTAATGATTACAATTTATTCTATGTTACAACTCTTACGTTAATATTCTTACTATTATTATTAACATTTTTTTTTTTGAAAGTTACTGGCTCTATTACATTGTAGTATCTATTCATATACTTTCTCAACCTACTGAAACACAAAGAACCAATAACGCCTCCACTGAGGCTCGAACTTATAATCTTCCAAATGGAAGTCCAACCCGGATACCATTGGACCACATAGTCCTGGTATATTATTATTATTATTAGTTTCTTTTCAAGTACTATTAGTATATAATGGTCGTGAGGCACAATAATAATATAATCATAATTAAATATTCTTGTATTGTATTCCGGAGTTAATGCCATTTTTGGTCCTAGACTTATTGAGGTATTGACACTTTTCATCATCCATAATAAAAATTGCCACTTATTAGACACTGTTATTGGTCGTTGGACAGTTTTGATCCTCCGTCAATGAAGTCGTTTGTTGACCGTGAATTAGAAGGGCTTTTCTGTCTTTTTATGTCTTATTCTTCTAATCTTGTTTAGACCAGCGCTGCTGTGACTCCTGTGAGGCGAGATGGCGAGACTTGGCCGCTAAGTAGTAACCGTCGGTAGTGAGTAGCAGCAAGGTTCTTCTCCGGCGAGTTGTGGGTATGGCGGCGAGCATACGAGGCAGTAACTCCTTCCGGCGACGGACCAGTAAGGCAGATCTGGCGGTGCAGCAACAGATCCGGCGAGGTTGGGGCCTTCACCGGTGGTTTTTGGTTCCGGCGAAGCAGAGAGGGCAACAGGTCGGCGAACCCTCCTATTGTAAATAGCAGTTGTAGTTGTAGATGGCATGATGTAGAATTTGCACATGTAAGTCCTCCCTTCCATATTGACCACAAATATCCTTCCAATCTCTCTCTCTCTCTCTGACCACAACTACTTGGTGCACAGCCTTAAAAACTCTGTTATTCTACCTGAAATTCATTGAAGTTTCAAGCTGAAAATGTGGAATCCGCCGCTCCCCAAAAATTGCATTGTCTGAGGTGTTGGAATGGCCGGTGTTGACTTCCTGGCTGCTGTAGCTTCATTCCCCAACCCGGATGATAAAATTCGGAACACCAGCTTTGAGGTTCAAAGAGGTGGTAACACTGGCAATGCTTTGATAAAACCCGTATGATAAAATTCGTTTTGGTCTTAATCCAAGGATCATATCTAAGGTTGCTGATGACTCGCATAGCGAAAGAACACTTGATGAGCTTGAAAGGGATGGTGTTGATACATCTTTTATGGTGGTGTCCAAAGGAGGAAACTCACCATTCACATATGTCATTGTTGACAACCGAAAAAAAAAAAAAACTCTCACGTGCATTTTCACTCCAGGATATCCACCCATGATATCTGAGAGTCTACATACCCAAATTAAAATTGTCTTCAACGCTTGGAGTAAATATTGTCTACTTAGATGGAATGCTGCATGAGACTGCTTTGATTGTAGTGCAGGAGGCAAAGAGTAGGGGCATACCTATTATAGTTGATGTAGAAAGGTTAAGGGAGGGGTTGGGTGATATTCCTGACTTTGCTAGTTATGTTGTATGCTCGACAAAATTTCCACAGGCATGGACTAACGCCCTTTTCTATTCCAACTGCACTTTTTTCCATTATCTTGAGATTGATGTCAAATGTAAAATTCGTGATTGTTAGTTGGGTGAAGATGGTTTCTTAATGTTAGAAAGGACTGAAGCGGATAACCTCAGTTTGAAGAAATGGATGTAGCAGTGACCAATGGATGGAGAAATACAAGGATTAGAACATAAAAAGACAGAAATACCGTGAGTCACAATAATAATATAACAATAATTAAATATTGTTCAATTCTATATTCTTCTAGGATTTCTATTACCATCATTAATTATTCCCAAATTTACCATAATTAAATAATTTGATCAATTAAAAAGAAAGATTATTAAATAATGCACGGGACAATTGTTTAATTAAAAATTTTAAAAATTCATTAATAAAACATAAGGTTCTCATAGTTTTTTCTTAGAAATTCTTTAATAAAGTATTTTTTTTTTAGAAATTGGTGGGCCAAACCGTCTACGGCAGTTTACGGTGGATAGATCTCAAAAAAATACGCGATTTCAAAAAAACATTTGTCCAAAACGGACAACGGAGTAAAAAGTTATGTCTTGCAGAACTTTTGTTTTTATATATAGTATAGATTGTATTACACTATTTTATAATATTAGAATAGAATTTTAACGCTGAATTATTGTACGAATGAGAAAGTAGAAATCAATATATTTTATTAGGAAGAGAGATTTTTTAGGAATTGGGCGGGAAAGTTAAAATTTCAGGATTTTGTTTTTATATATAGTATAGATTGTATTACACTATTTTATAATATTAGAATAGAATTTTAACGCAGAATTATTGTACGAATGGGAAAGTAGAAATCAATATATTTTATTAGGAAGA